TTTTACGGTAATGTTTAAAAGAATAGTATGATCTCCTTCGAGAATCTTCAAATTGAAAATCTATTTCCATAGATAACCTTACTTTTGTGTCCAGTATTTTGATAATTCAAAAAAATGAATTTTTTTGTTTTTGTTTTAAGTTATGTTCTTCGACGTATTCTTCGTCGTGCAATACGTTATTCATCAGAAAAATTACAAGCTAAACCTGGTTTTCTTGCATCACTTGTTGATGTTGTTGTTGAAAATCTTGGTTCATTCTTTCCAGAATTACATAAAGATCCACAATTAGTTAAAGATGTTATTAATGATGAAGAACAACAATTTTTACGTACATTAACACGTGGTCAACGTTTACTTAATAAAACAATAACATCATTAGGAAATACAACAACACTTCCTGGTAAACAAAAATTATTTTCCATAAAAAAAATTCGAATTTCATTTTTTATTTTTGTTAATAGGTGATATTGTTTGGCGTTTGTATGATACATATGGTTTTCCAGCTGATTTAACACAATTAATGTGTGAAGAACGTGGTTTAACATTTGATATGAATTTATTTGAAGAAGCTCGACAAAAATCTTTAATTGCTTCACAACAAACAAGTGGTGAACAAGCTCAAGGTTAATATTTTTATTTTCAATAGTAATTCTTCATTTCTTCTTTTTTGTTTTTTGTTTATATAGTTCAATGTACACTTGATGTACATGCTATTGATGAACTTAAACAATCAAAAGGTTTAAAACCAACTGATGATTTACCAAAATATGATTATACATCTGATGAACAAGGGAAATATGGTAAAAAAAAAAATTATATTTTAGATAAGTGAAAATTTATTTCTTTTGTTTTAGTTTTCCCATCAATTCAAGCAACTATTTTAGCAATTCGTAGCGGTCAAAAATTTGTTGATTCAATTAATTCAGGAGAAGAATGTGGTCTTGTACTTGATCGAACATGTTTCTATGCTGAAGCTGGTGGACAAACATATGATGAAGGTTATATTGTTAAAGAAGATGATGAACATGTTGAATTTCAAGTAAGAATAATTATTTTATTTTAAATATCATCAAATAAAACTACACAATTGTTTTAGTAAAATGGTATCCAAAAAAAAAGTTTCTTTAATAAATGTTAAGTCATAACTCGAATAACTGGTCTAGGTATATGCGTAAGACCGGCGCACCCATACTATCGGAGGGCCTATTTTTTTTATGTAAAAATTTATTGTTTAAGTCACTTATAGAAAAGCGAAGAGAGACGTTTTCGACAAAATCTAATATATTTTCCTATAATCACCAAGTTCTAAAGATAATATTCTATCTCATCATCAGATTTATCGATTTGTACCACAGGACACATTAGCTTAGAGTTCTTCTCACTCATTTATTAAGCTCTAGATAGCTGTGAGTCCTTCCAGACTCACAGTCTTATTTTTTTTTGTCGGATCCGGATTCAACTTGTTATTTTTTGTTAAATTATTAGGTTCGTAATGTTCAAGTACGTGGTGGTTATATTCTTCATGTTGGTGTAGTTGAAGGTAAATTATGTGTTAATGATAAAGTACGTTTAACAATTGATGATTTTCGTCGACATTTAATTATGAAAAATCATACGGGTACACATATACTTAACTATGGTTTACGTTCTGTACTTGGTGATACTGTTGATCAACGTGGTTCATTAGTTGCACCAGATCGTTTACGTTTTGATTTTAGTTCTAAAGGAGCTATGACAACTGATGAACTTAAACAAACAGAAATTATTTGTAATAAAATAATTGAACAATCATTACATGTTTATGCTAAAGATGCATCATTAGAAGAAGCTAAACGAATTGATGGTTTACGTGCTGTTTTTGATGAAACATATCCAGATCCAGTACGAATTGTTTCTATTGGTGTATCAATTGATGATTTACTTAATAAACCACCTAAAGCTACGGGACGTGAATATTCAGTTGAATTTTGTGGTGGTACTCATTTAAAAACAAGTAGACATGTTGATCAACTTGTTATTGTTACTGAAGAAGCTATTGCTAAAGGTATTCGACGTATTGTTGCCGTTACTGGTTCGGAAGCAGAAAAAGTAAGATTAATTTAAATATAAATAAAAATATTATATTAATATGAAAAGATTATTAACATATAGCAATGTTTTAGATTTTTCATAGTTCTTAGAGAGAAAAAAAATTTATGGATAAAAATATTCCATCGTAAATTAGAGATATAAAACTAATGAATTGATTTGTAGTGGGATCGATTGAGCGTTGACAGTTCACATCCCTACTTCTAAAACTAACACCAATTATTATCTTCCAATGATCCAACGATTGTTTAACAAAATAACATTGACATACTTCAAAGCTTCTTTTATTCTATTTTATAGAGAAAAAAAAGAGAATTACTGAAAATATGATTTTCTACTGACATAGAACATAAGCACACAGTTCGCTTTTGATTGACCGATAAGTTCGATGATCAATAGTTTAGACGAAATGTCCTTAGTCTTACAATTATTAGATATTTTATCATTAGATTTCTTTCTATATGAGTATATATCAAAATAAATGACTATTAAGAAATATTTCATATTGTATAATTTCGTAGATATTTTTGTCTATCAAATAGATCTTTATTTAGTGTACGAAAAAAGCTGATCAATTAGATGATCGTCTTCAAGATTTATCACGTCGTGTACGTGATTCATCATCATTAAATGCAACATCAACATCATCACGTTCATTATTTAATAAAGAAATTTTTCAATTTAATGAAAATATATCACAAGCTAATATATCACAATGGCGTCGTGAATCTCAACGTAATCAATTAAAAGAATTAAAAACAATATTAATTGAATTAGATAAAGCTGATATGAAAAATCAAATAAATAAAGCTGTTGAACAATGTCGAGGTATTTTAACTAAATATCCTGATCGTAAATGTTTAATTGCAAATTTTGAAATGGGTAATGATACAAAAACTTTAAGTACAATTATTAATCAAATACGTACACAATCAACAGAAGTTGCTATTATGTTATTCAGTGTTGATCATACAACAGATAAATTTGTTTGTCTTGCAAGTGTATCTGATGTATGTAAAAATTAGGAAAAACAAAAGTTTTTGTTTTATTTAAAAAAATTAAAATTAATTTATTTAGGCTCAAGTTAAAGAAAAACAATTAAAAGCTAATGAATGGGTACAAAAAGTAATTGGAGAATCAAATGGACGTGGTGGTGGTAAAGATACTCAAGCTCAAGCAACAAATTGTGATGTTACACAATTAGATCATTGTGTTCAATTAGCAGAAGAATTTGCACTTATTAAACTCAATTCGAGTAGTTGAAAAAACAAAAAACGAAAAAAAAAAAGAAGAGGGTTTTTACATTTCATCATATACTTAAGTTTTATTCCGGTTGTTAAACACATTTGTTATTCGAACTAAGAAATAAAAAAAAAACATAAATAAACAAGAAAGAAAACAAAATTTCTTAGGTTTCCTTCAATTTCAGATCGTAGATCTTTTGATGTTGTTTTTTTAATAAAGTAAGAAAGTTAATGTCAATACATTCAGTTAGAATTTTAATCAATTCATTTATTAACCGTCCATACACACACTTCAGATCATTCACTAAGTCATCTTGTCTCTTCAATAAAGCAACAGCATCATATCGATATCAACGTGAATTTACAAAACGTGAAGGTAATCTACATAAACAACTAATTCAACGATACATGGCTACTCCAATGAACAATGAAGATATTGAAAAAATTCTTGAACCATTTCGAACAGCAGTTAAAGTTCAAGTAAGAGAAAAGAAAACAACAAGATATTTTTTTTTTTAAATTTTATGTCTTCTTTTTTTTGTTTATTATTCTTTGTAGGGTGATCTTGTTAAACAAATGAAAGATAATAATGTTAATAAGGATGACGCTGATTTTAAACAAGCTTTAAATGAACTTAAAATACGAAAAAAAACACTCGAAGATCAGGTAAAAGAGAAACAAAAAAACACAGAAACAGACATTCATTGATCACTAAATTTTATTTTTTATTTTCTTCGAGATTACAAAAGCTATGCCAAAAGAAGAAAGTATTGATCGATTAAAAATGGACGATTTACTTAAACGAAGATTTTTTTATGATCAATCATTTTCAATCTATGGTGGTGTTAATGGTCTCTATGATTATGGTCCAATGGGTTGTGCAATAAAAGCTAATATGTTAGCAGAATGGCGTCGACATTTTATTCTTGAAGAACAAATGCTCGAAGTCGATTGTTCTATGTTAACACCAGAAATTGTTCTCAAGTATATAATTAAATAATATTATCGCAAAACACGATTTAAAAGTAGTGTTGAAATATAGGGATAGAAATTTGGTTCCACTCCCTCCACAGACATCTTAACAATGACTTGTCACCGACGAAAGCAAAAATACAGAATCTGCCGTAAAAAGTGGAAATTTTCTCGAACGCGGAGATGATTTCAAGAATTCCTGCGATTTCGAAAGTGTCCCCAAATGCAATAATTTCTCAAAAATCTTCTCCCGAAACACAATATAATATTTTCTTGAATGCATGTTCGCGCACAGAAATCGATTTTACATCTTTCGGCATGACAGACATCATTAAGAGATTATCACAGACCATGACAGACGTTGTTGATATATGATCAAAGACTGTATATCAGTAACATCTCGTTATAACATATGAAGTACTTGCTTATTGTATTTCTGAAGGATTAAGTAAAATGATGCTGAAGAAATATGTCTTAAAACAGATTGAATAAGATAATCTTCTTGTAATTAGTAACAGAGTTACATCGTGTTTCATATTTTAATTCCACAGGAATTTTATTAATAGCTTTTTTTTCTTTACAGAGCATCAGGTCATGTTGATCGATTTGCTGATTTTATGGTTAAAGATGTTAAAACAGGTGAATGTTTTCGAGCCGATCATTTGATTGAAGGTAAGATAAAATTAAGAAATTTATTTATTTATTTATTTATTGTTTAAAAAAAAAAAGCTCATCTTGAAAAATTACTCAAAGCAAAAGATATAACAAGTGAAAAGAAAACTGAAATCGAACGTTTATTACCACAGGTAGATTTTTAAAAATTATAAAAGAAAAAAAAATCCGAACAAGATTCTTTTTTATATTTAAAAAAAGATTGATAATATGAAAGGACCAGATATGCAAAGAGTAATTGAACAATATAAAATGAAATCACCTATAACAAATAATGATCTATCAGAACCTGTTTCTTTTAATTTAATGTTTGCTACATCAATTGGTCCAACTGGTCAATTAAAAGGGTTAGATCTATTTTAATTAAAGATTAATTGAAAATAATAATTTTGATAAATTCTTAATTTTTATTTAGTTTTCTTCGACCAGAAACAGCTCAAGGCATGTTTGTTAATTTTAAACGCTTATTAGAATTTAATCAAGGTCGTTTACCATTCGCTGCTGCTCAAATTGGTAATTCATTTCGAAATGAAATTTCACCACGTTCAGGTTTAATTCGTGTTCGGTATGTTGTTCGTCGCTTTTTCAAAACATATATTTGAAAAAAAAACAAACGAACATTCAACTATTTGTGGAGTTATATTGATTGATCAAATCGAGTTAAGATTTCGTAGTATTCACAAACAAGTAGCTGCTTTCGAGATTTTTCTATAAATTCTGTTATATATGTTATCATCAAATGAAAGAAACTAGACTGAGAGTGAAAGATGATTCTTCAGAACTATGGTTCTCTTTTGATATAATTAAAATGTATTATATGTTATCAATAGGATAAGTCTGCATCGATCCAGTAGCTGTTCATTAAACCAAACGCTTCATTGAATCATTCTCCATTTGATTGTCAAAGGCAAACATCCTTCTATATTTGTGCCGTACTAGTTTTTTTGATATAGTTCCTAATCAATGAGATTTCAAATTCTGTTATTGTGTTGGCATGCCAGAGATGAAATCGGTTCGGTGAATTAGTTTCTCTATCAATGATGTTATTTTTTTGTTTTTTGCATCAAAATGATAAGGTACCTCATTATTTCAGAAATTGGAAATAAATCAGTATTTTAATATATTATCTTGAAATGATGTAACAAAATCAATCATAGAATTTCTAATTATTCAATACGTCAATCTATGCTATTGTATCAATGAATAATTTTATTTTTAGTGAATTTACTATGGCTGAAATTGAACATTTTGTTGATCCAACTGATAAGAGTCATCCAAAATTTGAAACTGTTGCTAATCTTCAAATTCAATTATATTCAGCAACAAATCAAATGAGTGGTGAATCACCACAATTAGTACGTTTAGGTGATGCTGTTAGTACAAAATTAATTAATAATGAAACTCTTGGCTATTTTATTGGTCGTATTTATTTATTTATGACTAGAGTTGGTATTGATAAAAATCGATTACGTTTTCGTCAACATATGAGTAATGAAATGGCTCATTATGCATGTGATTGTTGGGATGCTGAATGTAAAACAACTTATGGTTGGGTTGAATGTGTTGGTTGTGCTGATCGTTCATGTTATGATTTAACACAACATTCAAAATTTAGTGGTGAACGTCTTGTTGCTGAAAGACCATTACCAGCATCAAAAAAAATTGAAGTTAGTGAAGTACAAGCACATGCAAATGTTATTGGTAAAGCATTTGGTAAAGATACAAATGCAATAACACAACATTTACAAAAATTATCTCATGATGATGCACGAATATTACATGATAAACTTGAAAAAGGGTAAAATAATAGTTTTATTTTTTGTGAAATGTAATCTAAAAGAAGTGTTGAAGTTAGGAATGTGCGAGTTCTTTCAGATTGGGACCTTGTCGATTCCAAACTTTTATTTTCTGTTGGGTCCAATTACACGTTTTTGTGAACCCACTGCTCGCTAGTTGAAGTATATAGGGTAGAAATTTACACAGACCATGACAGACATTACCATGAAAAATGTCATAGACTCTTCTAGAACAATATAGAAATTTTGAATTATGCTGTAATTCATTTTCATGATGAACTCAAGTTTAGAAATTTACCTTCTGTCAGTTTCAGATCCATAGCTTCCTAGAGATCGTATGCCAATAATGTTTCGTTAGAGTATATGAACTATTTTCTTATTTATTCTAGTGATGAAAAAATTACTATTGATGGTAAAGAATTTAGTATAGCAAGAAAAATGTTTACATTTCGAACATTTGAAAAAACAGTACAAGGTAAAATTGTAGAAAAACAAAAATCTTCTTATATATAATTATAATATATAAATTTCTAGTCGAAGAATATGTTCCATCAGTTATTGAACCATCATTTGGTATCGGTCGTATATTGTATGCTATGTGGGAACATAACTTTCGAATTCGACCAGAAAGTGAACAACGAACAGTAATAAAAATTTTTTATTTCTATAAATTTTTAATTGAAAACTTTTTATTTTAGTATTTTACATTACCACCATTAATTGCACCATATAAATGTGTTATTTTACCATTGAGTGGCAATGATGAATTTAAACAATTTGTTAAAGATATTTGTATGTTTCATTTTTCTTTTTTTTTTTTATCATTTATTTATTTATTTTTTTACATAATGAATATTATTTTAGCTGCTCTTTTAACACAAGGTGGTATTTCTCATAAAGTTGATACAAGTAGTGGTAGTATTGGTCGACGTTATTCACGTTCAGATGAAATAGCTATACCATTTGCAATTACAATTGATTTTGATACACTTCGACAACCATATACAGTCACATTACGTGAACGTGATACATTTAAACAAATTCGTGCTAAAGTAATTTTTGAAGTCCGTTCCTATTCAAAATCGATCTTGGGTCAAATTAGAATATATTTGAGTCTTAATGGAAAAGCTATGATAAAATTTTCAGTAGATATTCAACAAACAAAGGTCAAAAATAGTTCTCTATGGACTCTTATCCAATTAGATGAAATTTTTCTTTTATTTGAAGAAGCATGTCAGACTGAAGTGCCTCTTTTTTTTTTCTAATTCTTAGTTTTTATGTAGAGAAACAGCTTTATATGCTCTTTCAAAACAAAAATTGACTACAATGAGTGCCTTCGAGCATTGAGAAAAAAAAATGAAAAATCATATTCCACTTTTCATGAAAAAAAAACAGCATATTTTTCGATAGAAAGAAGTGTCAAATAAAAAAAAAAGAAAAGATCAGACTTCAGGCTATCATCTCAATTTCGATTTTTTTTCTTATGTAAATTGATTTTTTTTTGTTAAGGATGCCTTAGAAAAATTACATTCTTTAATTTCTTTTTTTTTCGATTATATTTTATAGATTGATGAAATAACAAATATTCTTCAAGGTCTTTCAAGTGGTACAATAACTTGGGGTGAAGTATGTTCTCACTATCCAGAATTCGTTGAACAACAAACAACCCATGCATAACAATAGTTTATTAAAAAAAAAAATATCGGACTTTTTCATTGTTATTGTTATCCATCTGTCTTTTTTTTCATGTTATTGTTTAGAGTCCGATGTTTTTTTTGCTTCTTTTTTTGTCTTTAAAAAAAAATAAAAATAAAAAAGAATCATATTTAACAATCCAGAAAAACCAGCTGGTGCCTTAAACTAAAGAAAAAAGAAAACAAAAAGGTTTAAGAGAAAAAAAAAATAATACAAACTCATATATAATTTATCAGTAAGAAAATAGAAGGATACACTTCTTCTATATTCAATAATTAATGGTTAATATATTAAGAAATAGTTTCAACGAGGTAAGAATAATTATAGGTTATCGGTATATATATAGATCTCATCAATTTTATGGATGTATAATCATATATACCTATAGATGTAATAAAAGAAAAAGGATAATGTCTCAAAACAAGTAGTATTCGTTTTTTTGATTAGTCTTGTTGTATACATATATATATATAACATTTCTTTTCTATTTTATTATTCCATTATATGATCATAGAAGGAAATGTCGACATTCAATAATGATAATCGAACAAAAAATTCACATATTAATCATTGGGGATCTGCTCGTGAAACATATCAATTCGAAGAACTTGATAGACAAAATGTTCTAGGTCAATCTGAATATAAACGACAACGTCGACCTCCTTTAGCTGATATACCAACTGTATCAACGAAAACAAATACATCATCATGTCAAAAACATCAAATTCATCAATTGATTGAACGTGCTCGAGAACTTCAAAAAGAAATTGTACCAGATTTTCTTCTCTATCAAATGCCAACAACTTATTCATCATTTTCAAATGTAACACCAAATTCAAATGTTAGTCGAGGGAGTATATCAACACATCCATATCGACAAAGTATATCACTTAGTTCAGGTTCATCGAATTCTTCTACACATAATCAAAGATTTAATTTATCATCAAGAATTCTTGAACGAGCTCATCAAATACCTGAAAGGTTAGCTACAAAACAAAAAACAAATATTGACAAAATGTTCTTTTTGTTTGTTTTTTTTTTTGCTTCCTAGATTTTGGATAGATTGGCAACAAAAACAAATGCAAGATCGAATAGAAGAATTAGAATATATTAAAAATAATATAGATTGTAGTCCATGTTCATCATTAAATTCTAATGAAATTGATGAAAATATAATAGATATTTCAAAATTAGATTATCCTACGAGTTGTGATGAACTTTATCGACAAAGTCTTTTATATTTACAACAAGCACAAAAATTAACAAATGAACATCGTGTTAATCCTGCACGAATATCAAAAAATATTAAAAATATATCTCATACGTCTAATAAAGATGATCATCAGTCGTTTAATTTTGATCAACGATCAGAAGAAACTCTGGATACAGCACATTTAAATGATTTCAAGGAAATTTCATCTGGTTAGTATTTGGTTTTTTTCTTTGTTATTATTGTTGTTGCTGTTGCTGTTGCTGTTTAATAATAATCAACTAAATAAATATTATTTTTAGAATCATTGACTTCAATTCCATTTATTCAACAATCTCAATCAAATATTGATAGTTCTCATTCAACAATATCTTTACCATTTATATATACAAATACACAAGAATTAACAATAAATCATAATAATTATTATCAATCACCAATGTTAGAAAAAGTCATGAAAGTTAATGATAATAATATTATAGAAAAAATTTCATCGAATAATAACAATGATGATACAGCACAAATTGATACAGAATTTAATGTTACATTAATTAAACGAGAACATTCAAAACAAATCAAACCATTATTATATTCAAAAGCAACTGTCAATCGTAGGATTGAATTTCATAAATTTCAACCAATATCATCTATGAATAATATAACATCATTAAAGAAAGATCAAATAATTCTTCTTCCAGTAATGTATTGAAATAATATATCAATTTATTCAGAGAATATAATATTTCATTGATAAAAAAAAAAAAAACAGAAAAATATCTTTGTACTTAATAAAACCTAAAAAGAAAAATCATCGTTCGTTTTTTAAGGAATTATTTTTTTTTAAAATATTTTTGTTAAATTAGGTATTGAAAACAAAGGAGATAAATGGTAGTCAATCATATTCACCGACACACTCCTTTAAATCATCTTCATTAAGTTTTTCGTCCAATGACCATGGCAAACATCTTAATGGTGATATGCAATCTATTCCAAGTTTGTAGTTTAATTTTTTTTTTTAATTTAAAATTCTTTTCATATGTTTAATAATATTTATCTATATTATTAGTTGCAAGAGGATGACGCATGATTGTATGCCCTCTGGGCAGGTATTGTTTATTATACATTACACTAGTTTCGGGATAGGATTCTTTTATTTTATTTCATAAATGCACGCATATATATATCTGTATGTGAGAACAGTTTATTTTACGTTGAAATGTGTCACTTAAGATGTGTACATTATACACAAAATTCTTACAATAGACTGAGTAAGATAGTTTCATTGTAGAAAGGCGAAAAGTATGGTGAAACCCTATACACTTGGTTTATGTCTTCACTCTTTAAAGCTATGTCAATAAGAAGCCTATTATATATATATTGAATTGAGGTATGGTGGTTTTGACGCTTTTGAGATCAGGAAAAAAAAAGAAACTACAATAGTAAAGATATGTTATATTTTCATTGTCTAAAAAAGATATATAATTCGTTGTTCTTTTATATTTTGAAAAAAAGAAATGTGTCGATATTATAAGTTAATTATTATTTTTCTTTTTCTTTCGTTTCTCCTTTTTTTTTCTTTTGCTCTTTTCATTTAGTAGTCAAATCATTATCATT